TCCCTTCTTGCCTGATTTTTCAGAAACCCAGACCAGGACTCAAAACCCTGGTGCTACGTCTTCAAAGCAGGGAAGTACAACCCAGAGTTCTGCAGCACGCCAGCTTGCGCCAAGGGTAAGCACTGCCCCAGCTCCCCCGTGGCCTCCTGGGAGGAGGGCCAGCCTGGCAGCCCTGGGGCTCAGGAACACAAGGACTGGCCAGCGGCCAAGGATATTGGTTGTGGAAGCAAGGAGGCTACGAGGCTTAGGCCCTGGCCCACCCGCCTGACCCTTCTCAGTTCCATCCTCAGCGGAGAAGGGGATGGGACTGGTCAGTGGTTTCAGGTCCTTTTGAAAATGATATTCAGTGGTGTTTTAAAATATGACGTCATGTATCACAATGGTACAGAAAGTATTTTTGAAGATAAAGACATGCACGTGCATGCATGTGTGTTGGTAGTAGGCTCTGCCTTGGGCTGCTTAACCAGCAAGGTCAGCAGTTCAAACCCACTAGCTATTCCGAGGGAGAGAGATGAGGCTATCTCTTTCTGTAAAGAAGCTCAGAAGCCCTAGGAAGCAGTTCTGTTCTGTCTGTGGGGTCTCTGTGATTCGGAATTGGCTCTGTGGCAGTAGGCTGCTTTAGATGGTACCCACAAGACCTAGAGATCTGCTTTGATAAAGATGAAGAGCCCAGACAGCCCATGAACAGTTCTACTCTGTCATTTGGGGTCACTCTGAGTCAGGATGCCCTCGATGGGGCAGAACAATCTCTGTCCCCTGAAAACTCTCTAAATGCATGCACACCCTCTAACCTTACTTGTAGACCTAGCGCATATTTATCTATATCCATTAGGTAATACCAGTATGCTTGTGAATTTGATGACTTTTGACAATCATTGTAAGGCATCCTCTCCATCTCCCAGGATCTGATGTAAACCAGGACTCACTGAGTTAGATTATGCATGCATAGTGGTACCTGTTTTCGTTTCACATGGGAAGGGGCCCAGGCGCTGGGAGAGGGTGAACATCAGTAGCACTCTAAGGCTCACCCATTCGCCCTTTCCTGCTGAGCCTGACTATACTACAATCTAATAAGCCATCTGCAAGCAATGGAAGTTGGCCTATGAGATGAAATCCATTCGACGTTCCCCTATAAAAGGGCTTCAAGAAAGAGAAAAGAGAGCAGAATGGTCCGTACCCTTCTCAGTGCTAGCCTGGCCTTCAAATTCCCTGCTGAAAGACATGACTCATCTGCTTGATTCATTCTGTTTCCGGTTGGAACTATCTTTTGTTCTAGAAAAAAATGGGGATTGCTACTCTGGAAATGGGTTCGATTACCGCGGCACCCACAGCCTGACCACATCTGGGGCCACCTGCCTGCAGTGGAATTCTAGGATCCTGATAGGCAAGATTAACACAGCATGGAAGAGCACCGCCCCCACCCTGGGCCTGGGCCAACACAATTACTGCCGGTGAGTAGTGCCGGGACCACACGATTCATGGCACATGGTGTGTGCGTAGGGCGGGAGTTGGCGTTGGAAATGATTTGGTGTTTAAAGTGACAAAAGGCTTACCAAGTTGAAGGAGGGAAAACCCCATGGATACCTTATAATGTGACACCTATTGTGAACAGTCAAGCACACCTGATGCTTCAGGACAGTGTTAGGGATCTGGTCCCACAGCCATTTCATTCTCAATCGCTCCATGCTGATGTCACAGATGGTAAGAATTCTCTCACCGAATATTTCACTGTTTCTCCCAACCTCCCTGTGAGATTGGATTACTATATTGCCATTAGAAAAGGGAATTTAAAAGGAAATTAGTTTTCCTTTGATAGAAGTCTAGCATGGAGCCAAGTCCAGAAGGCAGGGTCCTCCCACCCAAGGCAAGGTTCTTACCATTGGCTGGGGGGTTGTGGTTTGGAATGTAAGCCGCTGAGACTCTGAAACTCCCTTATCCTCTAGGAATCCCGATGGGGATGTCAAGCCCTGGTGCCATGTGTTGAAGAGCCGCAAGCTGACGTGGGAATACTGTGACGTGCCCCAGTGCTGTAAGGGCTGGCCCGTGGCCACTTCCCTTTGTCTAGTATCACTTCTTGACCACTCTCACTGCCACTTTCTGGGTCTTGGCAGCTGTCTGATTCAGACTGGAGAGTCGCCCATCTCTCAGAAAGGCCATGCCTTGGTGGAGAAGGGGCTTCTATGACTTGAGCAATGGGGAGGGGGGCGCAGCAACCTTCTTGGCTAAGCATACACTTTGCACCGCATCAGGGTGAGGAGGAGGAGGCACACAGAAAGCAATGAAGGGCTCTCTCCATTTCTGTTGACACAAAGAAGTTAGTGGACTTCCAACTTTTCTCGCTAGATTCCTTTACAAATGCTGATGGTGGGGGTGGTCAGTCTGAGGGCAAGTGAGGATGGCGTTTCTCAGGCGTCACTCCTTAGATAATAAAATGCTTTTGCCGAATTCTCCCAACAAGCTGGCAAGAGGTAGTCTTCCTAGCTCTATCTCACGATTGGGAAGGAAACCATTTCTCAGATGTCCTGTGGCCTGCCCAAGTTCACCAGGCTCCCAAGTGGTAGCGCCTGGCGTCTGATCTTATGTCCTCTGACTATGAGACTTGTGCTTCTATGGTGAAGTCTTTCACCTTTCCTAGCCGACCTGAGGGGAACCCAGGTTAGCGAGAGAGGGGAGGCCACAGAGAAAACCCCGAAGTTGCTAAAATGTACATCTTTGATTTGGAAATTCTTTGAGAATCGATTGAATTGTCTGAGAAAGTATTAAGTCCCATTCCTATGAACATACAGATCAGCTAGGATGCCCTTCAAGGAATATACAGTGTAGCCTGACTGGGAAAGTCAGACACAAACTACCAGCTAATTCACAACCAAGCTCACGTAGGTGCGTCCTCAGTGAGAGGCGTCAGTAAGCTCGCCCAGGGCCTCCTGGACTGGGGCATTCAGAGAAACCTCCCTGAGGAGGGAGGGTTTCACCTGGGTGGGGAACAGCTGAGAAGACGGATTCTCTAGGAAGAAGCCACAAGAGGTTTCTGTAGCTTGTATCAACATTTCTTTCTTTCTTTCTTTAACCATTTTGTTGGCACTTGATCCACACATCACACAATCGAATCGTTCGATCACATCAAGGAGAGTGTACCATCAGCACCACCATCCGTGTTAGAGCGTTTTCTTCTTCTGGCACGCGCATCGTTATTTGCGGCACATCGTGACTTCTCAGGCGAGGAAATTGCCGCAGGAAAACCGAGAGGCGGGGCAGCATGAGAGAAAGGTCCAGCATAGGAGGTCCACAGGAGGCAGGCGCCAATGTTGCCTGTGTCAAACATCCCTCAGCTTCTCCCCAGCTCTGTGTTCCCGGGGCTAAGGAAATGTCTGTGCAAGGGGGCTTCAAAGAGTTCCTGGGAAAATCCCATTATCTTTTCTTCCACTTTCCCCACAAACTTTTGAAGCCTCCTCCCACAGTGCTTGGCATGTGGTATATACTCGACAAGGGCCGTGGTGGGCCTTTTACCTTGGAGGCTGACCCAGCACTCTGTAGCAGGTACTGCGTCTGTGGAAACCCGAGAAGCAACCGCCGTGGGTGCCTGGGGGCCTCATCTCAGGGACCCAAAGTCTAATGTCCCTTCTTTGTCCTTCCTTCTCCCAGCCACTTGTGGCCTGAGACAGGACAAGCAGGCTCAGTTTCGCATTAAAGGAGGACTCTACACGGACATCACCGCCCATCCCTGGCAGGCTGCCATCTTTACTAAGAACAGGAAGGACCCAGGAGAGAGTTTTCACTGCGGGGGCATCCTGATCAATTCCTGCTGGGTCCTGTCTGCTGCACACTGCTTCCAGGAGAGGTAGGCGTTTGGGAAACCCAGGAGGTCTGTCTCCCCTCTTAGGCCTTGAGGCCACCTGACCACGTTCCCTGGCTGTCTCTCCATCAGGTTTGCTCCCCAGAACCTGAAGGTGGTCTTGGGCAGAACGTACCGGTTGATCCCGGGAGAGAAGGAGCAGAAATTTGAAGTCGAAAAATACATCGTCCATAAGGAATTTGACTTCGACACTTACAACAATGACATCGGTAAGATGCCGCGTTTCTCCCTGATCGCTGTTAGACCTCATCCCAACCCGCACCCACCGGTGGCACTCACAGACCCACAGAGACGCGCAGGCTCCGCTCCCCTCCCCAGCCCTCGCCCTCTCTTCCCTCCTTCCCTACAAACAGAAGCTCTTGCACACGGGGTTCACCCTCGCCCCCACTCTCTCCCCAGCACTGCTGAAGCTGAAATCCGACTCATCCCACTGTGCCCAGGAGAGCAACTCCGTGCGCCCCGTCTGCCTCCCCGAAGCCGGCCTGCAGCTGCCGGACTGGACGGAATGTGAGCTCTCCGGTTACGGAAGGCACGAGGCCAGTACGTGGACGTCTAGCCCCATCCTGTCCGCGGGCACACAGAGGAAAAAGTGCTTAGGAGAGCTGGGTTCCAGCCTCAGCCCAGGCACTCATCGGCAACCTGGAAGCCGGTTCCTGGCCTCCCTCCCCTGGGGGACCCGCACCACCTGCCTCACGAGGTGCAGGTCCAGGAAAGTCTGACTAGCCAGAGTGAGGGCTCCGAAGAGTTGAAGGTTTGAAGCAGGTTTTGTATGAGGGGAAATATAGCGGCAAAGGAGCTGAGGTGGTGCAGTCACGTGCTTGACTCCTCCCCAAACGGGTTCGAACCCACCCAGAGGTACCTCGGCAGACAGACCTAGTGCTCTGCCCACGGGGAGCTGCCATCTGGCTTCACAGCGGGCAAAGGCATGGCCTCTCCTCTCGGGCTCTGACCTAAAGTCAAATTCTGTGTTTGCCCCTTGCTATGCGGGGAACATTACTAAACATCCTCTAATGGCGCGAGCAGGACCCCGCCCCCCACAAGGAATGTTCTAGTCCAGATGATCTGTCGAGGTGCTGAGAAACCCTGGGGGAAGCCCTATAAAATTGCTGGTTTGCAGTAGCCTGTTGGCATTATCATCATGTCAAACAAGTATTTGTAAAAAAAATTTTTTTTAAGACAAACAACCCAATTCTAGTCATGGGTGTGGATGCAACAGAGACCCAACCCCACCCCCCACTCCCTTGCAAGGCAATTGGACAGTCCCTCTCAGAAGGGCCACATAGAGTGGATGATAAATCCAGGGTGGGGTCGGTTCTCAACCTGGGGGCCAAACAACCCTTTCACAGGGTCACCTGATTCAGAACTGTCGCAAAATAACAGTGATGAAGTAACAATGAAAATAACTTTAGGGTTGGGGGGGGTCACCACACATGAGGAACTGTATGAAAGGGTCGGGCATCAGGAAGGTTGAGAACCACTGCGCTGGTTCTTTAAGATTCCCTCCCCTTACTATTAAGGGTGGTCTGTGTTTGACCTCATTAATCATGTTAGATTTGTGTGTATTCATTTGTAGATGTAGGAGTGCTTGGTACATGGAAGTCAAGATAGATGACCCCTCAGAGACAGTGACAGGAGTAATGGTTCCCCAAGGGTGCGGGAAGTGCGGGGAGGAGCTGATAGCACTGATGATGTTAGAATCTCCCCCCTCCCCAGGGGATTGAACAACAGAATTGTATGTGAACGGATATATTGGATGGTATACGAGATGGTAATAAAGATAGTATAAAAAAATCATAATAATTTAAAAATGAAAAACAAAACCCCTCTT